GTGACGGCGACTGGGATGCCCACGAGCCTGCAACTGGAGGGCAACGCGTTGACCGACTACGGGGTCCGCTCCCTGGTGTCGAAAATGCGCGAGAACATGTTTGACGCGTCTGGATCGTCCCTGGGGGATGTTTCCTCGGACGGAGACGCCTCTGAAGAAGGGACTCAGGCTTTGGAGGAGAGTGGCAAGGGGGCTTCAGGAGCCCCGTCGCCCATGTCGACGGCCAGCTCCCGGCACGCGGCTCGGGCGGGGGGGGACCGCGCCCACGCATCTTCAATCGTCTCCTTGAATCTCACAGGAAACGACGTGGGTACCGACGGTGCGCTCTTCTTGGCGGACTACATCGCTGACTACCAGGCGAGTCTGCGCTCTGTGGTGATCTTCAAGGTGGAATGCTCCATGCTCTCCGCGCGGTCCATGGCTTACGACCGCGTGGTCGACCGTTCCCTTTCCCTTGAGAGCGCCCTTGTGCTCGCCATCATTGTCGACGCCTACGGCGGTGTCCGCGATGGTCTCATGGCACCCCAAGACCGCGCCCCCGAGATGTTATCCACGTCGGAGGCCCCGTCTTTTCCCTCGGTGGACCTCAAGGCTGGACCGGAGGCGGGGTCGGGATGGGAAGGGGTGGAGGGCTTGGATGCTCCTACTCGATTGTTCTCCGGGTGCGGTGGCCAGAAAGCGGCGGAGCAAGCAGCGAGCCCGAGCTACCAAGCGCAGCAGCAGTCCAATCCGCCGGAGCGCGATGAGGCTCGTATTGAGATGCTCAGTGCGGTCCGGCAGGTATTGGCGATGGGGGAGAAGGAGGGATGGAACAAGAGGTTGATAAATCACAATAGGAACAAGTAACTTAAGTAAACATAGAGCAAAATATAATGGGAAAAATGGGGTATCTGTATATCTGAAATCAAAACGCCACAACGACCTTCAGAGGCACATTTAAAAATGGGAAAGTGCCAGCGATGAGGATTGTACGAGTAAGGTAATTGAACTGATGCTGGTCGTGGGGCCGGCCAGGGGCTCGATTAAACAGTTTATGCGTGTAGGCACCTGCCTGTTGTTTGGGTTGAAAACTTCCCTCCGCGCTTCAACCTGCCCCGGGTGTCAAGCATAAGCAAGCGAGCTCAACTGTGTCCACGCCGGCACTGCTCCATTTCTGGCTGCCGAAGGCTTTCTCTCGCATTACTTTTTGATGACCTTTCGTTCTGACGGCTCGTGCACAGGGATGATGAGGGGAGCCGCACCCGGCAAACGGGGCCTGCCCCACGATTCCGTTGTCCAGCTCTCCCACCCTCCACCATCCCTATCTTGTCTTTCTTCACTCTATATAAATACATATACATGTATAGATATCTTTATGTCGCCATCGCAATTCCAGGATCCGTTGACACCGGACTTCCCAGAGCCCCCCCTTCGCTGCCTGGAGCAACCATGTATGGTCTCTGCAAACGCGAGGCCAGCTCGTTCAGCATCAGCTTCCACGCCGTCCCTTCCCCCACAAACAGAGTCCCATTCCTCCTTGCCCTTTGTGCTATCTTGACGGTCTTTGCCCTAATCAGATGACGGTCATCAAGGGAACGTGCGGCCTCTGGGAGGCGGGCAGCAAGGTGGAGGCAGGGTGGTGCAAGTCCTTGTTACAAATCAGGCTCCTGGTCGCGGGGTCTGCGTCTGCCTCCTCCGGGGGCGACAACGCTGGATGTATGGGTAGGGAAGAGGGGAGCGCCGAGGGGAAGCTGGTGGAAGGAGAGGAGGAGGAGGAGGAGGAGGAGGAGGAGGAGGAGGAGGAGGAAGAGGAGGCCTGGAAAGGCGCTATGTGAGTCCCTCGTGGTGCCAAGGCTGGGCTGGAGGCGGGCAAGGAGACAAACATGGACACAGGAGATGAGTTAGGGGAGGAGAAGGAGGAGAAGGAGGAGAAGGAGGAGAAGGAGGAGAAGGAGGAGAAGGAGGAGGAGGCGGAGGAAGGGAGGGATGGTGGCTGCTGTACATGGCGGAGGGAAGGAGAGGAGGAGCGGTGGGGACGTGACAGTCCCGTACTTGAAGCACAGGGGCTCTGTCCCTCCATCGGCGACGGTACGGGTGAAGGCGTGCTGGCCAGCGTGACTCCTTGTCCTCCCGCAGGTGCAGCCACTGCCGCCGCCGCCACCGAGGAACCTGTCAACGCCAGGCCTGCCATCCGCCTGTCCCGTGCTTCCTCGTCCTGCATCACCGTCGCCCCGGCCCCGGCGGCCGTGAGTGTCGGCCTTTGCCCGTCCGCCTTATCCTCCGGGTCGGTGGGGAGCACCTCCACGCTCACAAGGGCGGCCGAGGCCGCGTCATCTTCCCCCGTCACTCCCCGTGCAAACCCCCCCTGGAAACGCCAATAACTCCAGCGGCTCTCTTGTTCGTATTGGTCGATCAAAACTTGGACTTTATCCCCTACTCGCCACGGCGGGATGGAGGACGGCGTCGAGGTGGGGACGGGATGTGCCGGGGAGCTGCAAGGCAGGCAACGGAGGCGAGGGCTTTCGAAAGAGATCCATTCTTCGGCCAGGCTGCCGTAGCGTTGGTAGGGGGGCGCTTTCGGCCAACCTGTGTGGTGGAAGGGAGCGGATTGATGGAGAAGGACAACGAGGAAGGGAGGGGAGGGCCTCGATGTGAGCCCGGAGTTTAGACCAAAAGCTCCCAGAATTGAGAAAGAAAACGCCCACCAATCCGACGATGCCATTGGCAAGCAATTGTACGCTGGCGTGGTCGCATTTCGCAACGTAAAACCGCAAACACCCTCATCTTCTACGACCTCCCCACATGCTGCCTTACCGAGATACGACACCAAAAGTCTTCGCGCTAACGTGTCAACGATGTAGACAATCGCATCAAACCATCTTCTATCATAGCGGTTAACTACCCGTCCACAGCGCCAAATGCCCTCAACCTTGTTATTGTCGTGAATATTGGGCAAGAAGTCAAAATAATCCTTGCTAATGTATGACGTCATATCTACCCTGCCCCTCTCTCTCGAAAAGTCCTGCATCACTAGCTCACTAAACGGGCCTTTATTCTGGTGTCTATAAGCTATAAGACACTTATTGAGAGTAAGAGAGGAGCGTGGACATTAATTGTAGCCATTTTTATGAGACTGGATGACTCACACACTGCCCTTCTTCTTCGACCTCTGCCTCCCTTTCACACCTGTATCTCGACGGCGCCACTTTGTAAATTGCACCGCCACGCTTCATCCACGTCCAGGTTGTTTTCACCTTTATTTGCACTGTGTCCACAAATCCTCGGGATTGCGTGGTTAAAATCGTCGTAAATCTGAACTTGTTGTTCCTGGAAGGTATCGGCTGCCAGCGTCACATTTACCCCCACGCTGCCAGTCGCTGCAAAGTTTGGCCGTCCCTCTTGCGTAAAATCCGACCCCGTCGTCTCTTTAGACGGCGTTGAATTATTTACATCCATCTGTGTTACACAGGTAGGCGAAATGCCTCGTGAGTGTCGCGTGTAATTGTGGAGTGGTCTTCCGCCGCGTGCCGGCCGCCCTAGGAGAAAAGGCGAGGGCCGGGTGCCGTTTTTTCCCCCGGGCAATGGGTGCATATGTCTGGCGTGCACGAACACATGCCGGCGGACAAGGCCCGGACATGCGATTATTGTCCACCGTGAATTACAGCGTGATCATGTAGTGGGAATTATTCACGCGTAGTGCACGTTTCTTTCGCGTTTTTTGGGTTTTCACCGCTTGCCGGGATCTGGGAAATGCTGCCCCCCTTTACCCGGCTGGCGACGCCCCAAAACGTCAAGATCGCCTCAATTATCAGAGGGTGCACGCCTTCCGAGGCGACTATTACGAGGCAATGCCCGTCAAATGACTGGACGGGTCTTCTTAGCACAGGATTTGGCCACGAAAAGTGCCTCGGTGGGTGGGTGCATGTCTGGTGTCATTTGGAGCCATGGCGGAGGTCAATGGAGGCGTGGCTTTCCAGGCCCGAACAAGCGGCTTGAGGCTCTCGCTCTCTCGCCGTGGGACAGTTATGTCGCGATGAAAACACTGGATCTTCACTTGGTCCGAGCTTGATTCATTGATGTCGTATGCATTGTCTCGGTGGCGGTAGAGGCAGTTGATGCCTTTTCCACGCTCATGCCAAAAGCATTACAAGCGGTGAGATCCTTGGTGTACCTCGCCTACCCGTCAGTCCGTCGTTCTCGGGCACTTTAACGTTCACGACTTTCCCTCCCCATCATCACCACAGGAGAAATAAAACCTCTTTGTCCCAGCACCATTCATCCCATTCAAGGCCTCGTCGTTCTTTCTTCCCTGTGCCTGTGCCTTTTCCTTCTACTTTTTAGCCCCGTCACTTCTTTCTTACTTCTTCCCGGCGGCTCTCCAGGGAGACCTTACTCTTCGAGCAACATTCCGCACACTCGTGCTCTTTCCGCGCCCTTGCGCGTCGTGCGCTTCGGTCAGCAGCATCAGGACGGAGCGGGTGACATGAAAGGTTGAGTCTCGCACCACCATGACCGGGGGGAAATAAAAATGATAACTGTTTAACCTCCTGGATGCTGTCTGCTCTGCTTTATGCTTGACTTTTCGCAACCACTTGGCCCCGGCACATGCCGGTAAATTCAAGCGCGCTCATTTTCCCTTACTTTGTCTCTTCTTTTTGATTTAATTTACTGGGTTGCGCGTCGGTGGGGAATGCAGAGGCCTCCGGGGGGAAGAAGGGCGCAATGGGTGGAGGAGGCAGTAGCACGGGCAGCGGGGGCGGAGGCAGGCGACGGCCTTTGGTGATTGGAGTCACAGGGGGAAGTGAGTCGGGAAAGAGGGAGGAAAGAGGGAGGGGGGAAAGAAAGAGGGAGGGAGGGAGGGAAGGAGGGACGGTAATCGAGGAAGCTATGTTGAAAAGTAAGCAGAGGGGCCCGCGCGCGTGCTGGGGGCAAGATCGTCGCGGATGACCGCCCCCGAGAATCGGATGACATGGCGCTCACCATCACTTCTTTCTCTTTACCCAGTTGCCTCCGGGAAGAGCATGGTGACCCGGTTGTGTCAGGGTCGATACGGGGTCTCGGTGCTGGACGCGGACGTTCTCGGTCATCGGAGCTACTCGAAAGGAACGCCGTGCTACCGGCAGTTGCTCAAGACCTTTGGGGAGGAGATTGTGGGAGAGGATGGGCAGATCAACCGGTCCGTACTTCCCTCCCCTCCCTCCCTCCCCTCCCTCCCTCCCTCCTTCCCGCCCTCCCCCCTCACGTCCTCTTGCCCCCCCCGTAGACGTGCCCTGGGACGCATCGTTTTCTCCTCGCCCCAGGAGCGGAACCGGCTGGAAGGCATCGTGTGGCCGGAGATCAGGAGGCTCATGGAGGAGGACCTGCGGGCCTTGGGGGAGGTGGGCAGCAGGGAGGGAGCGAGGGAGGGAGGGAGGGAGGGAGGGACAAAGTGAAGGTCGCTAGACATTGCACCCGGGAAATGTCATGTTCCCCCGCATCACGGCCCTCCATCCTCCCTTCAGACCGGCATCCACGCTGCCGTGGTGGAAGCGGCGGTGATGCTGGAGGCGGGCTGGGAGGACGCCATGGACGAGGTGTGGGTCGTGGCCGTCGAACCGGAGGTGGCCAAGTAAGG